CCTTAAAAATGAAAATAAAAACCCAATTATATAAAAGCTGAAATAGTATGATAACTTAAAAATAGAATTAGGTTGGGGGTGCCTGGGTGGCTCAGTCGGTTAAGCGTCTGCCTTTGGCTTGGGTCATGATCCTGGCGTCCTGGGATGGGGCCCCAAGTCAGGCTTCCTGCTCAGCGGGGAGTCTGCTTCTCCCTCTCCCCTCTGCTTATGCTCTCTCTCTCTCTCTCAAATAAATAAGTAAAATCTTAAAAAAAAAAAAAAAAAAGAATTAGGTTGGGAGAGTAGGCATAGTCTGGGGCAGATGCAGACACCTGACCACTACCTGTAAGTCTAACATGAAGCCTTGCCCCTAAGAGGTGCTCAATCGATGGTATTGATTGAAAAAGGAAAACACTCAGAGACAACAATGCAGATCCCCAGGCCCCGTCTTCAGGTAGGTCTGGGGTTGGACTCAGGGATCCGCCAGTACTTGTCATGCATGGCCGGGGGCTCACGGTTCTGGGGACCACACCCGAGATGCTGGGTGCCGAGCCCCGGCCCCGCATCCTGGCACCCAGGGCTCTCAACACTCGGACCCTACTGGCTGGCCTGAGCCACTTGCCTCTGCCAACTGTGTCACTGTCCCTCCAACACGCTGTTCCCTGCCACCCCCACGACCTCCACGCCTTCGCTCTTACGTCTTGCCTAGCGCTGTGTGCATGCTTGCTTCAAGTCCTTCCACCAGGCCTTGCTGTGGGCTAGCGAACATATGGGGGCTCCAGCGAGGGACATCCGCTCCCCACAATGCACCAGATGTCACAGCCCAGAATTCACGTCCAGGAGTCACGGGACTTTCGTTTAAAAAGTGTCATGGCACTACCTGCATCTCATTATCCGCACTGGGGGAGGGTCGCTACCCACCTGAGAGGATGGAACGCGTTACCAAAACCAGAACGCCACGGACCGCTCCAGCTCGGAGACCCGCCGGCCGCTCCCCCAGTGGGGTGGGGGAGCCTCGGCTCTCCTGAGACAAGACCCCCGTTCTAAATGAGCTCAAGCTGGCCGCAAGGGCTGTTGCCACATCTCTGACTTCCTATTTTTAAATAAAACTTAGGCTCTAAAAAGAAAAGGGTACGTGTCTCATCCAAATTAGTAACCAGGCAAGGGCAAGGCTGGTCACGGGCTTGCCGACAGACACTTGCGAGGGAGCGGGCTCAACGCGGGGCGAGGAACCGTTTCCATTTTGTTGACAAACACATGTCGCAAGACAGGAAATTACCCTCCTCGGTGCTTATTTTATCTCCGTTTAATTGCTGTTTGATAATAAATTACAACAGAGAGTCCATTAATTAAGCTAACAATGTCCGTGGAACACCAACTCCTTCTTCTGGGAGTTGCCTTGTTAAGGGGAGCTTTGATTCAGTCTCTGTTTGCCCACAGCACTTTCCGAAGCGGTTCACAAAGATGCCAAAGCACGTGACTGGGGTGGGGTGGGGGGGCTCACTCCTAGCGTGGAGGGAGTGGCTCTGGAAGGGGGGCGGGAAACCTTGATGAGCCAGGGTGGGGGGCAGCCTAGCAGCTGCAGAGAGGTACCAAGGGTGCCTTCTTAATTCAGAACATGTGGTAGAATAGAAAACAACATTAGACTTACTTAAAAAAAAAAAATCAGCTGATGGGAAACAACCAGGGCCCACTCCCAGAGTTGGGGGGGTATTCATCCCAGAGTTGGGGGGGAGCAGCGAGCCGCCTACTTTGGTTTGCCATTCCATCATCAACTAAATGGCAGGAGCATTCATCTGGAAAAGCTCTGCATGCAGGTGGACCCGCTGAAAGATGAATTCATTACTTCCCACCAAAGGCGCTGGTCGTCGGCTGTGTAAGCCACAGAGGAGGGAAGAGCCTGCGGGCTGGCTCCGGTGTGGACAGGGAGCTGACAGGTGGCCATCTGCAGGCTGGATCTGTTTAGCAGGTGACCGGTGCGACTCTGAGGCAGGGGACACCAGACCAGTGAAGGCTCTGGACAGAAGGGTGAGGAAGGTCAAGTTCACAGGGGTCTGTCCCGGAGCTGGGAGCATCACAAGGACATTAGTGGGCGTTCTGAGTGGCCGGGGCAAAAGGAAAGGGCAGAGGGCCCTGGGGGAGATGTCACGGGACCACAGAAGGCAGATGGAGCCACTTCAATGTGCTGGTCCTTAGATTCAGCTGAGAATATCCCAAGTGGCTTAGAAAACCTTCCCCGGAATCACCCAGGTAAAAAGCCACTGCTTGGAGCCATAAGGGGAAGCCCTCAGATGTCTGAGAGTCATTCTTTAGACCAGCTTTGTTCCCTTTCGCATTCCCAAGGTCAGCTTCACAGGCCAGGTTTTGATTATGAGGATATCTAAATGCGCTGGTGTCTACGACGCCACGGTTACTAAGGACTTAGTTCAAATGTTACCTATTCAGAGCACTGGACAGAGAAACCTGGGAGTTAAGTATAAGCCACTCCTCGTATCTCCCCGAACAATGATCACAGACCGTGTGCTGGAAAAGCTGGAAAGTCAGCAGGAGCCGAAGGCCAGGATGTCTCCTCAGCCTCCAACCCTCTCTGAACTCCTCCAGGAGTTCAAACTAAGCCCGATCTAAGCATATCATCCTCCCCATGGTTCTCTAGTGTCAAGTCCCAAACTTCCCAGGCCAGCATCCTGGCATCATCTGGGAACTTGCTGGAAATGCGAAATCTCAGCTCCCACCCCAGGCCCCCCGATTCAGAAGCTCTGGGCCTGGGGCCCAGAAGGTGGTGCTTTCACAAGCCTTCCAGGGGATTCGGCCACACACTGAAGTCAAGGACTAGTGCCTTGGAGCCTGACTGCCTTATCAGGCCTTGGGAGATCCACCTCTCCATCCCCTTCTGCCTTATCTCTTGGCCGGTCCTTCCCTCTTGCATTGGGCACCAGCCAAACTGGGCCACCTTCTGTCTCCCGACACTCCAGCTATCTTGCTCTTTCCACACTTACTATGCTGTAGATTTTCCTGCCTCTTTACTTGTCTCTTTCCTCAAGTGCAAACCATCTGAGAGCAGGGACTATATCTTATCCGTTGCCACATATACTCATGACCAGCGTCTGAAGCAAGTGATCAAGACAGAACTCGCTGAGTGAATGAATAAATGAATAAAGACACTCTGGGGGCACCTGGGTGGTTCAGTCAGTTAAGCGTCTGCTTTTGCCTCAGGTCATGATCCCAGGATCCTGGGATGGAGTCCTGAGTCGGGCTCCCTGCTCAGCGGGGAGCCTGCTTCTCACTCTCCTCCTTGCTCATGCTCTCTCTCACTCTCTCTCTCAAATAAATAAATAAAATCTTCAAAAAAAAAAAAAAAGACACTCCCTGGATTCTTTAGACCTTTAGACCCTTTAGTGCAAACGCCCCACTTCCCTGCAGAGACCCATCAGGAAGTGGAGCAGGTCTAGGCTTCCCCATCCTTCTGCTCCCCAAGGGCACTTTTGGCCAATTGTGGGTTGTAGGGTTCAGTAAATCATCTTGAAGTACATGGGTTGGGTTTGAATTTAAAGTGCTTTGGTCATGCTGGAGGGCCTGAATTCTAGTCTGCTTTGCTTACCAGCACTGGCCCCCCCGTGCCTCAGTTTCCCCATGCTGCGGGTCTACCTCCCAGAGGGGCTGCAGGGACCAAAGGAGCACAGGATTTGACCCCTTCCACAGTACCTATTATCCACCTTCAGAGGACCTGTCACACACTGAAGGGAGGCTGAGGGCCTGGACCCTCAGAACCACCTGCTGTGATAGCAGAGAATGCAATTCTCTTTCTAGGTATTGGCTTCGTGGGAAGCAAAAGTACCACAACCAAGAAAACCCACGAGCCTTTATGATGCACGTGTGTGTGTACTCGTGACCGATGAGTGTGGATTTGCCACTGAATGTGTGTGTTCACAGAACATGAGCAAGACCAAGGGTGCTTATGGGGCATTTTGTCCCGTGTCTTCCTCTTACAGATGAGCCAGCTGAAACCCAGAGAGAGAACTGGTAAGTCTGGATTAGGGTCACCTGTCTGGTGCTCCTCTGGGATTGAATTATAAAGGTTTTTCCCATCTGTAGCCGGCCTTTTATTACTATGAGTTGACATAAAAAAATGTTTTAAATTGGGGCGCCTGGGTGGCTCAGTTGGTTAAGCGACTGCCTTCGGCTCAGGTCATGATCCCGGAGTCCCTGGATCGAGTCCCGCATCAGGCTCCCTGCTCGGCGGGGAGTCTGCTTCTCCCTCTGACCCTCCCCCCTCTCATGTGCTCTCTCTCTCAAATAAATAAATAAAATCTTTAAAAAAAAATGTTTTAAATTTTTTATGAATGTCACATCTAATGACATTTTTGGATATGCGTCCTCCCAATCATAGAGACTTTCGGCTAAGGTCTTTATGCGCATGCACACACGCACACACCTTGGGTTAGCACGAAGTTGCCAAAGGAAATTCATTTACCAGGCTCGGTTTTTACTTTGTTGGTTGGTCGTTCTGCCCTTTTTGGGTTATCTTGTGCATTCTCCCGAGAGACCGGAGAACACGTGTGTTCTCTGAAATGTCACTGCAAGCACGCTCCTCCTACAGAGTCAGCCCTGGGCTCTTGTGCCAGCGCTTACAGACCCAGTCATAATTCCTACCCACCTGCTGGCGACCTTTCAGGATGAGCGTGTCGAGCATGTTCTCATGAGGAAATCGGCTATTTCTTCAGGCATATTTGATTATAACTGCAATGTATGCACAGGTACACTCGCCTATTTGCAAATGACTGCAATTTATTCACATTCTCTATTCAGTATGCAATGTGCCCATTGGTCCCCTTAATATCTGTGCCAATGCAAACACTCATGAATCTTTCCCCAAGTGTTATATGGAAACAACCAGAAAGCCCCCCACCTTCTTAACATTTCAGAACACGTAACAGCTACAAATAGGGGACAGCAGACGTCACTGCAAGTCCCATGAATCCCTGGTGCTTTTACTCCCCTCCTGGTCAGAGATGGGCTCCTACCTGGGGCCCCCAGCCATGGCACGGGTACAGTATTGCTGTGTGGTTCTCCAGTGGCCCCTGGTCCAAGCAGACGTCTTTCGCCTTGTTGTTTCGAAGCTGCGGAAATAGGCAAGATACCCCCATCAGAGCTCATGGGCTGGAACTTCTGCTACCCAACCCTTGTCCCACCATGCCTTGGCCCCAACTTCTCGATGCAAAGGCCACATGACCCTCCCCAATGTAAGGACCAAGGCTCAAATTTGTGAGGTGATCATTTTCGCAAGAAAGACCAAGTCCTTCAATGGATGGTGTGGGCACCAGCCCTCTGCCTGGGACACCTCCAGCCTCTACTTACACACAGCTACCCCATCCCCAGCACAAAAGAGGGGCTCACGGAATGTTTGGACATAGGTACACACTAGTTACCCACTGGTTATCCAAAGTGGGCCTCGACACCAACGTGGGTTTTAATCACCCCGGGAATCATAGGTCAGCTTCTGAAGTCATTACTGACACGGAGGCATCAAAAACAATAATCCGAAAAGCAAACGAAAACCTTGCCATCATGAAAAGCCTTGGTAACATTTATTTATATATTCCAAAAATACTTACTGACTGGCCTACACTGTGCCAGGCACCATCCTAAGTGTTTGGAATGCATCTGTGGAGGAATAGCCCAAAGTCCCCAAGACAAAACCCCTGAACCCAGCGAGGCACATCTCTTTGGGAACATGGAAGAATTTGTCTAACTGGAACCTCCAGGGGCTCTGTGATTCTGCTTTGGTGTCCATCACACCCACCATGCTGCAATCTCAACCAGTGGGAAAATGCCAATGCTGTTGGTATTATCCATATATACTCAGCCCTCTCCAGGTTCTGTTCACTATGGAAACTAAACTAATCAAGGATAAATCATGAAGAGAGGCGAGGGGCACTTTCCTTTGGTGTGCTCAAGTTTTGTCTAGGTTCCGACAACTGAGCAGAATTTTAATGCCTGTTTTTTTTAAAGATTATAAAAATAATACCATCTTACTGAGATACCTTGAAAAATGCAGAAGTAACAATTGTTCACAATCCTTTCCCACAATCAGTTAATTTTTCCCAATTTTGAGACAATTTAGTTTTGTTCACTTTTGACGGTAATGAGAAACTTTGCATGTAAAGCTTTGTTCCCATTTCAGGTTTTCTCAAGAAAATAATCTGAGAGGGGCACCTGGGTGGCTCAGTTGGTTAAGTGTCTGCCTTCGGTTCAGGTCATGATCCCGGGGTCCTGGGATGGAGCCCCACGTTGGGCTCCCTGCTCAACAGGGAGTCTGCCTCTCCCTCTCCCTCTAACCCTCCTCCCTGCTCTCGTTTGCTCTTTCTTTCTCTCTCAAATGAATAAATAAAAAAATCTTAAAAAAAAATCTGAGAACTGGGATTACAGTAGCAAAAAGTATGGATCCCTTAACGTTCTTAAAATACGCTGTCTGATTCCTTTCTGGAAACTTTGAACTAATTTCTATTCCCATCCATAAGATATGTAAATAACTTACTAGTCCTGAGTTTCACCATTTAAAAACATTGTGTTGGTCAAAGTACACAAACTTCCAAACCTAGATTTTGGGGAACCTAATGTACAGCATGGTGATTATAGCCAATATTACATACTCAAATTGCTAAGTGGATAGATCATCTTAAATGTTCTTACCACAAAAAAGAGATGGTAATTATGGGATGGAATGGAGGTGTTAGCTAACTCTATGGCAGTAATCACTCTGTAATATGGAACTGTATCAAACCAACACATTGAACACTTTAAGCTTATAAAACGTTATATGTCAATTATACCTCAATAAAGCTAGAGGAGAAAAAATAAAGAAAGCTGCTCGGAAGAAAAATTCTAAAGAAAGTGGTGGAGTACAGTTTTTTAACCCAAGTTTCCAAAAATTTGTGCAGAGGGCTAGAAGTGATGAATCAGACATGTTGCACAACGAGTCCCAAGCAAGTGATCTCCAAGGAACTGTAAAGCCACCTTAGGAGCCCCGCACCATATTTTAGCTCTTTCTTAGATGCTTTGAGGAAATGCTTTGTTAATGCTTTCAATGATGCAAAGGATAAATTACATGGAAAAATTCAAACAACTTTTGAGTCAAAAAGTAATTTTTGTGCAGAGGGGTAGAAGTGATGAATCAGACATGTTGCACAACGAGTCCCAAGCAAGTGATCTCCAAGGAACTGTAAAGCCACCTTAGGAGCCCCGCACCATATTTTAGCTCTTTCTTAGATGCTTTGAGGAAATGTTTTGTTAATGCTTTCAATGATGCAAAGGATAAATTACATGGAAAAATTCAAACAACTTTTGAGTCAAAAAGTAATTCAGGCGAGTTAAGATGTTGAAAGCAATGAAATCTTAGAAATACCTCTACCAATGTACTTTGCTTATATTTCCTTTCTATGTCTGTACAACAGCAACATGATAAAATGTGCCTAATGAAGCCCAATGAAGCTTTTAAAATAAGTATAAAATAAAAATTACAGGTAATAAAAAATATTGTGTTGAGAGGTGAAGAAACACATCTTGCTTTTATGAATTTACAACTAATAGTAAATTGGAATGTTTCATGTTTAGCAATTATTTCCCTTTTTGAGAATTATCTGTTTATTTCCCCATTGGGATCTCAAGTGGTTTTACTGTAGATTTATAAGAGCTCTTTATATATTAAGGACATTGTTTTTATGGCATATTCGTTCCATATAATGATTTCAGAATGCCAGGCTTTTAAATTTTGTTTCTAATGTTTATGCAAATAGATCTATTATTCAGGAACTTAATATTTATGGCGGGCCTGCTACATGCCTGGGACTGTGCTAAGTTTAAGGAACGCAGAGATAAACAAAACAGTCCCTGCCCTGAAATAGTCCATGGTCTGGAGAGTTAGACAAAAGGAGAGCTAGTACGATACTTGCCAGGACAGCAAGGAGAGCATCCTCACCCCATCTGCAGGTTCAGACACTAAGAAGAGGGACTTGTAAGCCAAGGGTAAGTGGAAATATTGCTGGAAATGTTCTAGTTTTTACCCAGGTAGTTTTTTGCTTTATATTATTATGCTACACATGTATGCTTTATGCATATGTGTATTGTCTTTCACATAAATAACAGTAAAAGAAAAAAAGATGAATAAAACCAAACTAGGGGTCTTCAGGCCACAAGGACAATATGAGTCAACCATGGAATGTGAGCAAAAGGTTTGGGGGTGAATGTTTTTGTGCACACCGAGTTGCTTTTACACGTGGAAAAGCGATTATCTCATACATGGGAGAGTCAAGATATCAAGTATCCACATTTTATTTTAATTATTTTATTATTTTAATATTTTTTATTATTTTAATAGAGTCCAGCTAATAGAGGTAAATAAACATTTAAAAACCAAGGGAAACAAAAAACAAATGATCCGGTTAAAAGATGGGTAGAAGACACAAATAGACATTTTTCCAAAGAAGCCATCCAGATGGCCAGCAGACACATGAAAAGATGCTCAGTATCACTCATCATCAGGGAACTACAAATCAAAGCTATGAGATATCACCTCATACCCATCAGAATGGCTAAAATGAACAACACAAGAAACAACAAGTGTTAGTGAAGATGCAGAGAAAGGGGAGCCCTCCTGCATTGCTGGTGGGAATGCAAACTGGTGCAGCGACCCTGGAGAACAGTTTGGAGGTTCCTCAAAAAGTTAAAAAATAGAACTACCCTATGACCCAGCAATTGCACTACTAGGTATTTACCCAAAGACACAAAAATACAGATTCAAAGGGGTACATGCACCCCGATGTTTACAGCATCATCATCAGCAATAACCACACTGTGGGAGCAGTCCAAGTGTCCATCGACTGATGAATGGATAAAGAAGATGTGGTATTTACTCAGCCATCAAAAAGAACAAAATCTTGCCATTTGCAAAGACACGGATGGAGCTGGAGTGTATTATGTTAAGTGAAATAAGTCAGTCAGAGAAAGAAAAATACCATATGATTTCACTCATATGTGGAATTTAAGAAACAAAACAGATGAACATAGGGGAGGGGGGAAAAGAGAGAGGCAGATTTAACGATAGAGATTTAACGATAAGAGATTTAACGATAGAGAACAAACTGAGGGTTGATGGTGATGGGTATTAAGGAGGGCACTTGTTATGATGAGCACTGGGTGTTGTATGTAAGTGATGAATCACTGAATTCTATTCCTGAAACCAATATTGCACTGTATGTTTAACTAGAATTTAAATAAAAACTCGAAGAAAAAAAAATCAAGGGAAAATGACTTCCTATCTAAGTGGGTGTAGGCACCATCACTGTTGTGTGAGGCAGAAACACTGGGACTGACACCTGCTCAAAGGTTCCTGCCTAGCTTTGCCACTGTGCTGGGGTCTGCGTGTGGCACAAAGAACGAGTAGCATTATAAGCATTAAAATATAATTGTCTAAAGAATCGTAAATTTTGTCACTGAAATGAATTTAACTGAAAAGCTATTCTGAAAGGTATGAAATGCAAATAAAGTAAAATAATGTTTGCATCTAAAATCCCAGTTAATGTTAACAAAGACTGAGAAGTCGATGAAGCAGTCAGGAGAAAGTGTGTTAATGTTCTCGTATTAATACCACTTGACCCTTCATTATGGAGACTCAGAGATGAATTTTTTAAAAAAACGTTAGTGCAATTGCTGGATCGTAGGGTAGATCTATTTTTAGTTTTTTGAGGAACCTCCAAACTGTCCTCCACAGTGGCTGAACCAGCTTGCATTCCCGCCAACAGCATGAGGGCTCCTCAACTTCGCGAACACCTGTTGTTTCTTGTGTTGTTGATTTTAGCCATTCTGATGGGTGTGAGGTGATAGCTCATTGTAGTTTTGATCTGTATTTCCCTGATGACTGATGGTGAGCATCTTTGCATTACTAGGTATTTACCGAATGAATACAAAAATACAAATTCAAAGGGATACATGCACCCTGATATTTATAGCAGCATTATCTAAATAGCCAAATTATGGAAACAGCCCAAGTGTCTATTGACTGATGAATGGATCAAGAAGATGTGGTATATGTACAATGAAATATTATTCATCTACAAAAAGG